CACATTCCTACGATTGTTGCAATTTATTTGGAATGATTCGCAATTAAATTTAAATTTTGAGGAGTTGCAAGTCATTTCGGATTTTAAACAAGGCCTACCTAAGGGTAAGTATATAAAAAAGACATAATAATACATAGGTATTTTTATGAAATAATTTGATACACAATAAAAGTAAATGTTTCCCATGTCCAATTAATGTATAATACGATTCATTCGAAGTAACCGCATCATTAGACTATGCCATACCAATGCAGATGCCAGAAGGGTGGTTCGAATGGTAATATTTTGTTAAAATATAAATTTAAAACCAGAATAACAGTTATTTTTTTTTATAGTCAATGGCTTTACCGCATTTACCARCTGAAACATTGACGTACAATGGAATMAATTTTTCAATGGAATTGGGGTTTAGAAACATTCAAAACTTAGGTAATAACACACGAACACTTGTCACTCACATAAAATTATGGTTGTTCTTCTTTTGAAATTATATTTAATCAATTATTGTTATAAATTTGATAGTGGAACAGCATGGTTTGAACAATAGTCTTAGTTCCTTAATGGCCTATTTTCAACACTATTGGATGGAAGTTGTTTGTGCACATAAGTTTACTGTCCATCGACTAACACGCAGAACCAACAATTTCATTGAGTCCWATCATGCAAGTTTATTGCGTCGAATGGGCCAACATCCAGCACTCTATGTGTTCTATAGTAAATACATCAATTTGAATCACACAATGTATAGTTCATTTTAAATTATAGATAATATAATTGATTTTTAGATCACCTCGGGGATATTGAACAACAGTCGTGGATTGATTTTTCTAGGGCTATAGATGGATTACCAGTAAGTTCTTTTTTCTCAACAATTTTTTATGTTAAACCACAATGTTCATACTTGAACAAAATTTATAAACAACACGGAAGATACATAAATAATATATTTTATAAGATCAATATATTTCAAGCCTACGTTGTGTTAACTGCAAAACACTCCATTTTCAATATTATAAATTAATATATTTGTTTATATATAGGGTTGTGACAATGAATTTGCACACTCTCTCACTTATTTCTTAAAAATCAATTTTTTAAAACCACTGTAGTAGTATTGGCATAGTACATTCAGGATCAATTTTTTTATAGGGCTTGTTAATATTAATATTCAAATAAATATTACATTTTAGTTATTAWAATACTTACAAACCTAATGTTGAACGATGAACCGCAATGAAAKCAATGCATTATTTTTAGGTTMGAATAACAACATCATCTGTGTATACGAGAATCATGGGTATTTTAAATTAAGCATGGCAGCACGTAGAAAGTGGTCGATATACATTGCAGGAATTTCAGAGACGTACTGCTCACACTGTGGAGCAAATTCTTTTAAATGAAATTGGTGAACCAATATTTAATGAGGGTGAGTTGAATTTTGAATTTATTGAAGTATCAACAATTTAACTAATTTCAGATAATTTTTGTTGTTATAAAAATTTATAGACAACTTACAAGATATCTTAATTAATATACAGCCATTGCCCATTCCTCGACTTCCTATTGGTGTCCAACAAGCTYCTCCAAAGAGCAGGACGAGGACGAAATGTTGTAATTCTTTTGGGTAAATTTCAATTAATTCACTAATAAATGTAATTATTTAGATAATGTAAAAGCCATGGTAAAATTATCAAAACTTATATTTTAAGTGGCCTAATTACGGGGATGCATAAAAGTTTTTATTTATGAAAACGGAAAAAGCGACTTTGAATATGATTTAATTGGTCTTTTTTATTATTTTACCTATGAAAGCTTAGCACCTGCTGACATTTAATGTTATTACGACAATGTATATTTTGATTTTGAATGTTATTTTAGTTGATGTTCATGACAGACCAGCAATAGGTGGTAGAAGAGATCAAAGACGTGGGAGTTCTGAGACAGGGATGCATGGAATGCATTTTTTCAAAATATAAAAAATGATGGTAATAACTAAAGACCGGATTTTTAGGTTCTTAAAAGCTTAAAATATGATGCTAATATGCTCTAAAAAAACACTAAAATATTCTCTAAATATGCTTTAAACTTATAAATATGCAAATAA